CCCCCCCCCCCCAAGTTGCCTTCGGAACAGTCTAGTCATTTATGACAATGCCCACGAGTCTCGAGGACCCCTGAACCATGTGGTGCTAGGATTTGCGTTCTCAGGTTGATTATGTCTTCCTGAGTCCTGCGAGGGGATTTGACGGATATGCGTTTCGAGCGGATCACCCGATTTTGAAAGGATGCGCGTAATGGGGTTGGCTGTGTGTTCCCCGAATTCTGCGATGATATGCGTTCTTGGGCTGACCACGTGTTCCCCGAGTTCTACGAGGACATGTGTTCTTTGGCTGCCTACGTGTCCCTAGACTTCTGCGAGGACATGAGTTCTCAGGCTGACCATGGTTCCTCCGAGTTCCGAAAGAATGTAACACATATGGTACTTGGAATTGACGGATTATGATTGGGGGTATGCCTAGGTGGATAGTATTTGAGTTTGGCGATGTTTTAAAGCAAAATTGATGATTTTATCTTGGTACTAATTGGTGAAAGTTTTAATACATGTATAGAGATTTATGAGACAAGGATTGAAAGTTTTCTAAATTTTAAGGATTGTATACAATTCACAACTATTTTCTTGAGTGATGAGTTTGTTTTTACATGTGAAAGACGGAAGCTGTTTTATTTAAACCATTGTTATTGATATTAAGGTTTCATGTGGCCAATGTTATTGTAATAATGTTCTCATTTTCCTACTTATCTGGAATGAGCTATTATATATATGTATTTGTATATGCACATATGTGATAGGTGGAAAATTGTTCTAAAATCAATATATTTTGCTTGAGTTTCCCCGGATTGATTAGAGTTTGAAGCTTTTGGTTTTAGGAAAGTGCGATGGAATATTTAATCCATATGCTTACATATGGGTTGAACTTTATTTTCTTGTATAAAGAACTACGTGTGGCTTGATCACTCAGTAAGGGTACCTGGGCAACCTAGGCTAACCTAGGTGCAGTCACAAGATTTTGATTGTCTGTTATGTTCAGTTTTGTAAAGTTGATTGTGCTGAACGCTCGAGACTATTTGAGTTTGCTGTGCATGTGCATTTTTCAAGGGAGACTCTGCCGGTTTTCCGATAGAAGTAAAACCCTAAATCAGTTTTTGGATTAGGGCAAGAAGCGTATTTTGGTCATGCATGCCTGACACCCGCCAGGTGATGGGCAAAACTGGGTTTGACACGAATTCCAAAGTGGAATTTAGGTCGGGTCCTGTCATCGCATTTATTCATTCGTGGCTTCTTTCCATTTTGAGTTTTCTAGTGCTTCAGTCACACTATTGGGGACATATATATCTTCCAACTGCTCCACAAAGTCTACATGTGACTCTAATAATCTAGTTAGAGATATATAATTATTGATTGTGCATTTCCCTTTCGCTTTAAGATCTGCTTCGTAATGTACTCGAGGTTTACCACGATTCTTTCTTTCTGGAAGTTGGTATATAGGGGTATCTGCATCCTTTATGTTTTCTGAAATCAAATCATCATGGTATATTTCATTAGTGTTATTAGTTTCAGGGGGAGATGTTACCTAAACGACTTCTTCAAAAGGTGATTGGTGTGGTACTAAAGTTGAATGCGGATCCAAATTGGGCAAAATCTCAAAAAACAGTTCAACTTCCTCCTAATGATTTTGGCAGTGTGGAGTTGCTCGATCATTTTTCACTGGCAACCGGTTGTTTTGACACAGAGGCCCAATGTTCGGGAAAGGAGGACAAAGTGACCAGTAGTTTGGGCAGAGCGACTGGTCGTTTTGACACAGTGGCTCTGGTTGTGAAGGAATAAAAGGGGGCGACCGGCGACACATATTCG